AAAAAACTTTTAATAAGTTGTTAGAAAGAATTGAACTTGATATAAATAATCATGACAACTATCCTCAACATTTCATAAAATAAAATTAAAAATATCTCCTTATCTTTATCTTTTTATTTAAAGATCTCAGAACTTTTGGTCAGACCTAAGTATTTTTGAAGTGATCATTCCGAATGAAATCAATCTCTAGATATTGAGAAAGTATATATTTTTATTAAAGATTATTAATAAAATAACTATCATAAAATGTGTTATTATTAAAAACAAAATTACTTATATAAATATGTGCATGGCTTGATAGACACTATACAATTGACAGATAAATCAGAATGTAAAGATAGATACTACAAAAATTTTTAAATAAATATCATATTATCTCCTAAGTATCAAAACTAGCAGTACACTTAGATATGTAAATCTTCTAGAGAAAAGGTTAAGAGGTATCATGAGGCGTTTGAATTTTTGTTTCTTGTATTAAAATAATTTACTTGTAAAGAGTATCTTAACGAATGTTTTTATAACACTCAAAAGCTATGAAAACGTTAAAATGCGTTGAATAAATTCTTCTCAGATTACAAATAAAACACTAAATGAGTGTTTTTTTTATTTTTCAAGTAAATAAAACGACTCTCTCTTTTTATTTTATTTGTTCTGAACATAAGATTTTTGTAAGTAAAAGTACAATTATTAAATATTCGACTGATGAAATAATCTATTGAATAGCATAGTAAGTTAAGATTTGACGTAACAACATGTTTCATTAGGGATTTGTTCACTTGTATCAAATTGATATATTGTAATCATTGAATAGAACGAAATCGAAACAACTTGAATATTCAATTCTCTCCTATTTACATTAAAGAAAATGAAATACATAAAGAATTTCAAATGTTCCAATCAATTAAATAACTTTGAAATAAAGTAGACAGATGATGAAATTTTTCATCATTCTACTTTTATTGAATGATAGAATAAAAAATAATCCGACGAGTAATTAAGTAAACCGCAAAAATCCTATAGCGGTTCTTCAGAAATAACAGTTTTTTTAAAAGTTCTTGTTTTACTTGTAAGCAGGTCCCAGGGAAGAACACCACAATCTGAGGAGATAAGAAGATGTATGCAAAAATATTTCACATGATTACTTTAAAATTTGAAAAACTTTGAACCGTTTTTTCAGTACAATGAAGGATAATTTTTGATTATCGGGAGATGTACATCCCATACATTTCCTGATATTTTTGGAGCTACTTGAAAGAGAAAATGAAAAAAAAAAACAATTTTTCTTAAGGTTAAGAAGTCCTTTAAGTTATACTTTAAAAAGAATCGTTAAGGGTTTTTTTTTTTCTATAAATTATTTTGATTTTTTGAACACCCAATATGAATATTAACACATTATCACAACATTTGTTATTCATTCAACTTAGAAAGTGATAACAACAATGTGTATTTCCATCATTTTAAAAAATCAACTATCTAATAAAAGCGAAAAAGCTTTTATCAGGTTGTTTTCTGAAAAGTTTATAATGAATATTGAAGTCATTTGTTAAAATTTTTTCATGGCAACTAATCAAGATCTTTCAGATTTTATTTCTTGACAACAATACTAGTCGTTTCGAAATTTGACTTCCGTAAAACTTTTGATCGTACACTCTTTCAAGAATGACTATGAATAATGAAGAAGATTTTTCTAAAAGCCAACCATCATCACAGTAGTTTAATTGTGAAAACATTTTTTATTTCCTTTCATGAAAATAGTCTTTTTATTCCACATAACAGCAACATAGCAAAGAAACAGATACATGATTCATTTTCACATAGTTTAAGTTAACAAAAGCTAAGAAAAAAAAAATTGTTAGGTTCAGAATTACTAATGAGAGAGGGAATGACGGAAGCTTTCCCCTATGAAACATTTCGGATTCCTAACATGTTCTGAAAGATGTTTGACATTCTGATAGAAAATGTTGACAGAAAGTAATATGGAGACATTTTGGTTCAAAAAGTCTCACAGACAGTTGATGATTTTATTATTCCCTATTCTGTATCTGTTAAAAAGTGGAATGAAAGCATTTTTTGAAAAAAATTTTAGGCTTTCCGCCAAATTTTCAACTCCTTCCATCCCTAAAAACAATAGGGGACCCTGGTTAATACTTCTCTGTATTGCTTGCAGCCGACCAAACAACCGACAGTAATGTGATCAGAAAATTATTCTAGTCGAAAAAACCCACTAAGTTCTGTTTCAATCGAGTGAATTTATAATGACGCCATCAGGATCAAGAGGGCAAAGATAAACAGAAGTTTTTCAGTCGCTATCAAACCCTTAATTCTATCAGCTTGTTGATTGTTTAAATAAGTTTAGCTTTCTTCTTTTTTATTCATAAATTCCATTAGCAATAGTGGAATGACAACGTGATATGATTTTCATCAGTCAGCGATACAAAATTGATAGTTTAGCTATTCGTAAAACTCCAAATAAAATTTGCTTCGTTGATTAATTGAATTCAAAAATTTAAACGAAACAAGAAAGGTATGTAAGAAATTTTCTTAGCAAAAATTTATAATGAACATTGAGGAATGTTTTCGTTATCTAGGCAGAATGCATAAAAATATGTGAAACTATTTATTTCAATATACTAATGTTCGTCATTATTTCATATTTTTTTCTACAATCAAAATAAATGACTTTAATTGATGTGAAATAATCAGTGAATAGTCATATGAGATTACAAGAACAATATAGTATAAGAAACAAAAATTTGTTAAAAAAATTACATTTCATTAAAACTTACAGAATTAAAATTTGTCTTTTGATATGATGGAATTAATTCTTCTCACTAAAGGAACAAAAATGATCAAAATGCTAAGTTTAACATGAAAGAAAAATTTTCTCCTGAATCCTCTTTTCTTTTTATTTCTTATCATATAGCTAGTCAATAAATTGATTAAGACTCACTTGTGTCTAGTGAAAACTTTATTCGATATTACATATGATCGAATTTCTCGTGTGAATCGACACATGTTGCTTTCAAGGTACTTATATTAAAATACGAAAATATTTGCAATCCTGCTTTTTTTGTGTCAAAGCAAATAATCAGTAGAGAAAGAGATGTATAAAAAATGTGAAGAGTATATGTCATCATTATCGACATACAATCAGTGTGTATATTCTTTTGACCATCCTCCCGAATCGTTACATCATTTTCTTTTGTTCTCTAACAAATCAAATATGTAACAAACAAAGGTAAAGAGAGGGATTGTGACGTTGTCAATGTATTAAATTCGGAGAAGAAAAAGTGCTTCTTTTCTCAATTTCAGTCTTTACTACCAATACAAGTGAGGAAGAAAAAAACCGATAGACATAATATCACGTCAGTTCTTCCACATTTATGACCTTGAATAACAAGGCAATGTGCGCCTACATGCTTATAACAAGATACCGTTATGCATTCAAAAAAATTTTCTTAATTGTTTCTTTTTATTATTCTAGTTTATTATCTCAAGATGGGAACTGAAACAACAGTTGTTCTTGTTGATGGTCAAGCTCGACCACGTTTAGTTCCATCAACACGTTTTACATTAGCATTACTTGTCTTTTTTGCTTTTATTGTTCAATATTCTCAACGTTTGAATTTACCAATAGCTATTGTATGTATGGTTAATCGTACAAAACCAATTCAACATAATTTATCATTTCATGTAACAACAGAATTACCAAATGATATATCAGACAATATTAAGCATCCATTAACAACAAAATCGACTAATACTCCCATACAAAAAGGAGGTATTTTTCAGGAAAAACAATATTATTGGATCGAATTACAACAACAACTTCTTCTCGGCGGATATTGGGCTGGTTATATATTCACACAAATACCAGGTAGATAGAAAGCTCTTTTGTTTATATAATAATTAATATGTTAAACTTAATAATAAGGTGGATGGGTTGCAACAAGTATAGGTGTAAAATGGGTTTATGCAGGTTCTCTAGGAATAAGTTCATTAGCTACTTTAGCTTTAATCACTATGTATATGATGTCCAATACACATTTTATTTTGGCATTTGTTCTTCGATTTATAATTGGTCTTGCACATGGTGTACTTTTTCCAGCAACAGTCTCTCTTTGGTCTATATGGGCTGTTCCACAAGAACGAGGTACACTTGCATCAATTGGATTTTGCGGTACACATCTTGGAACATCTTTAACAATGCTTATTGGTGGATTATTTTGTCGTTATTTATATTCCGGATGGATGTATCTTTTCTTTATCACGAGTATTCTTGGTTTTATATGGTTTATATTATGGGTTGCATTAACAGCAAATTCGCCACAAAGTCATAAAAGAATTAGTAATCATGAACGAGACTATATATGTAACTTAACAGGTAGTACCGGAAAGAAACGTATTATGTCATTAGCATCATTACCATGGAAAAATATGATAAAATCAAAACCAGTGATTGCCTTAATAATAACACACATTGCAAATCTGTTTGGTTTATTTTTCTTTTTAACAAATCTTGGTAAAATTTCAAATGAACTTTTACGTATTTCACCACAAAATACTGGTTATGTGTTATGCTTAGGATCCTTTTTAACATTATTAAGTAGTTTATCATCGGGTAGTAGAAATAAAAAATCAAACTTTTCTATTTACAAAAAAGAAAATATTTTTAGGTATTGTAACTGATCATCTCGTTCGAGCAGATATGATAACATTAACAAATGCAAGAAGACTCTTTAATTCTTTAACATCATTTATACCTGTTTTATGTATGATATCATTTTATTTTTGTGATCAATCAAGACAACTATTAGGTATCATTACTATTCTGGTCTATCTTGCTAGTTCTGGTAAAAATTTTACATAAGTTTTTTTTATTCATTTGAATATATATTTTTATTTATAGGTTTTGCTTATGGTAGTGGTTTTGTAGTCAATTTTTCGGATGTTGTTCCAGCTTTTTCCGGCGTTATATTTGGCCTTGCTAATACATTTGCATCATTAGCTGGTTTAATTGGAAATATAGTTGCAGGATTAATTATTAAAAAGCCAGTTATAGAACAATGGAGAATATTATATATTATGTTTGGTATTGTTTATTTCATTGGTGGTGTTGTTTTTCTTATATATGGTTCGGCTGTACCGAGAAAATGGGCGACATTTCAAGCTGTGAGCAATAATACTAAACAAGAACAAAAGTTAAATAATGAAGAAGCAATACCAATGAACGAAACAACTTAAGCAAATAAATTTAATGAATATAAACAAAACCATTTCCCTTTTTTCTGTTTCTGTCAGAGCAAAAATTTCTGTTCAATATCAGCGAAAGGAATATTTCTCATACAATTAGGTGATCAATCTTTAAAATGATCTAATTTTTTTTTCTGTTTTGTGACAGAAATTATTTCTTACATGCATATATAAGATAATATAATGCCTATTTCTTTTTCATTTGTTTCATTATCATTTTATTCGAACAAAAAAAAACTCAATGAAGAAAACCAAGCATCAATATATTGCTAATTGATTTCGTGTTTTTTTTAGAAAATTTTTATACTAAAATAGGCGAACTTTGTTTTCTTTTTTTTACTACGATAATGAGCTATATTTTTGTTCGTAGCTGGTTATACTTCGTTTTTTTTCTTATGTTAAGTACATATCTTGTGATATTAGATAAGTGAAAACGAATGTACTCTGTGAGAAACATGGTCATATAGCTTATGAAATGTACTTTTAGATTTGATATTTGATCTAGGTTATTCAAGATAAATTTTTATTGAGGAATTGCTTTTTGGTTTCTATAATACAATTTTTTATGACTTCTTTTATTATATATATATACATATATCAAACGACGAATTCATGACAGTAATCTATCAAGCCAGTGCATAGATTGATCAGCTATATTATAACAGTATGATCCTGCAGGGTCTGTCTCTTATCTGTACTGTTTAATATTAAATGAATAGTCTCAAATCAATTGAAAGCTTTTTGGGATATGTTTGGAAGAAGTGATTATCCAATTTGATGAACTTGTAGAGAATACTCTAGGTTAGAAAAGATTTTAAGCGATTATTCATCGATAAATATAAGGTTATTTTACTCTTCTTTGTAATAGATGCAGATAAGAATCTATGTATGAACTTTTAACTATATATGACTGGTTGCGTGTTGGTACAATTAAAAGAAATCCAAAAAATTTAGTGGCCATATCTACTTATTTGAATAAGTTATTTTTTGACTCTTGTGTTTTCATAGAAATTCGATAATTTTTACAGATTAATACAACTGATAATTCAAAATGTTAACAATTGAAAGTATATTAACTTCTATAAAATTAAGAATTTTATATTTAAAATAATTAAATATTGATATCTTTAATTGGCATTCTATGTTGTAGACACTCAGTTTCATTTTGAATAAACTAGATGATATCATATTTTTACCAAATGATTTCTTTTATAATTTGTCTAAGAGCTACAACTTCTAAATTTGTCTTTACTATGAAAAACAAACTCACAGTAATCATTATTGTTATCATATCATATGTCTGATGAAATTTGATATCGTTTAAATTTTAATCACATATGTGCAGGAAATTGTAGTACAAATACTAATTCAAAAGGATTGAATGATCTAAAAAGAAAACAATAGAAAATCTCTGTGTTTAGTAAAAAACTAAAGATTTTCTCGTAAGAAGTAAATGATATGCGGAAAAAAAGGAACGAATGCTGTTATAGAACAATTTAATAATGACTATATTGATAAAGAGAAACAATTTTCATGTTATTTTAAAGGCTTGCTACTGACTAGTATAAGCTACAAATCAAAACTATTCTTGATATCAACTCGAATACAAACACAACTCACAATTAACGATTACATTATTTAAAAACAAAACTTCAGCTACAACATTCTTTTGATATCAATGAAATCTTGTCCTTCTCACTACGTAACACTATTCAAGTATTAACGAAGCGTTCCTTTGATAGACGATGCCAAAAGAGAACTCTCAATAATCTTGTATGAATCTCAGATTTCTTCAAGAAAAGCTTTTGAATATCTTAACTTTTCTTGTCAATAACAATCAATTCAATGATATCAAGAAAATTTTCTACACTCAGATCATCTATCTATCAGCATGTGTTTGTATTTTTTTTGTAGTATCTGCATACTATTAACGATATTTCAGACTTTTGTTTTATTAAATTAAATTTAATTTGTACTTCAAAAAAAAATTAACAAATTAAAATTCCATTTTAATATTTTTATAAAATTCACTGTCATTACACATATCATTAAGAGTTGATATTGTTTTAATAGTTTCTAATGATGTTCGTCTTGTCCATAACATATGTATAACTTCAAATTCTTGTATATGTCGTCTTTTAGTATAACAACTAAAACATAATTTTCTAAAAAACCATATTTGATAAAATTCTTTAACATAAAAATTATTTGGTATAACATAAATGGCGTATGTAAATATTTGTGGTGTATAAAGAAGAAAAATAAATATAATATGTAAACGAATTATGTAAGTTGATGAAAATGTTAAACAAAAATTAAATAAATTAAGATATAAACTATTTAACAACATACAAAAAATAATGAATAATGATGGAATAAAATAAATTTGATGAATAATTATTTTTCGAAGACCATTTTCTTTTATTAATAATACAAGAACACATATAATACATATTCCATGAATTAAACATGGAGTAATGATATAAATATAATATAGAGCTATTGACCAATATTTAAATGAATTTTTTTTATATGTACAATAAAAATTACCAGATTGATCAATTAATAAACTTCGTCCAAATATTTTATCAAGATTTGATATTGAAACAATAAGAAGAAAAAGTAATGAAATAATTACAGGTTGTCTTCGTGGACGAAATTTATTAAAATTAAAATATATATAAAATACACCTTCTATCGCTATTGCAATACTTATTAACATACTTGTATAAACCATAATAAGAGATAAATATGGATAACCATAACAAGCCCAGAAACGAAATAAATATATATCATAATAAATAGCAGTTAGTATATTTGTTATAATTAACATCATTAATATTAAACTACATATTGAATAGTTGATTAAATAAATCCCACAAATTGTATATCGAATACGTTCTCGAATAAATGTCATTAAAGAACATATATTATTTATTATACCAATTGAAGCCAATAAAATAAAAATAAAACCATAAACATAACGTAATAATGGAAGATCATAAAGAATTGCTGCAATCATTGGAAGAGTTAATGCATTATAATAAATCTCATTATTTTTATAAAGATCATATTCCTTAGGACAAGTACAAAAACCAAATAAACATCGATTTTCATTTAGAAACGAACTACAGTTTGAACGCAGCATAGTTTTGAAAAATAAAATAATGTGAAATGAATAGACGCTTCCTATATATCCAAATTATGCATATTCAAGTTAATAAAAACAAAATTTGCATACATCTAATGTAGTAAAATATATATAAAAACGATAATTTCCATTTAATTTATTGAAATTCTAATCAGTCGTATAATATAATTCTCTTCCGAATAGTTTTTGACAAAATTATTTATTTAAGAATATTATGGGTTTTTCCAACAAAAATGCTTTTGCGCAGATTTTTTTAGATGATTTTTCGAATATTTTATATTAGCATAGTACTTTATTCATCAAGTAAATCTTTCAACGTCATTATACAGCTGAGTAATAAAAATATGACAAGTTTCGATTTAAGAGCAAGAAAAATCTTGAATTATATTTACTCATAATGCATCTTTATCAAATATTCAAGTAAGAATTTAACCTCATGCTTGTTTGTTAATTGAACATATCAAATGCATGATAACGTTACTTTGGAAAAAGCAATTTAAAAGAATTGAAACCATTATTAAACCTATGTTAACGAAAATGTGTTATTACTAACAATAGAAACCGTCAATGTGAGAAAGGATACGACAGTTTAAGCAACTTCATGTTCATGAAAATAGTCCGTTTTCCTATGCATCATTTTGAATCATATCTGAAAATGACAACATGAGTCAATACATTGTCACTTTCTTCATCAATTCATGTATTATTAACATCAATATCATGTAGTAAGTATTATTCGGAGCAAATAACCAACTTTTGTGGGGTCGAACAATATCAAAAGCTATTAATGATACGAACTTAATTGTTGTTTATTCTTTCAATATTGTTACTGAAATATGTATATATTACAAATTGAAATTTATCGAGTAATCAATAGACATTTTTAAATATACAAAAAATATTTTCACTTCTTATTCATTTTGATAAAGTCATAACTGTTGTCTAAATATTGATATCGATTTTTATTACAATATGCTTCTTGTAATAATAGTTCATATCTTGTTCATTATCATTAAATAAATTAATCCAAAGAGCTGGACACTTTTTCTTATTATTTGTTGTTATTCTCACTGATCACAGTTATAATGATCAAATTGTGATTTACTTAGTTCAATTATTATAACTATCGTTAAATATAGATTAACTGAATTCGAATAAAACAATCTAGATAGAGTTAATCATTTCAATTAATATTAATACATCATTGAAAAGTCTTTTAAATATCACAACTATTCGTAAAATATGAGTTAGAAATTGACATATATATAAACAGCAATTTTCAAAAAACTCACCTTATTTTTTAATCACTATTCATCAGCAATAGATAAAAATAAACATTGATGAAGAACTCATTTATAGAAAGAAAAAAATTGCTATTTTGATACATTTAAATGCACGTTATAAACTAGAAACAACATTGGCATTTTTGTCATAAGTCTGTCGAAGAAATAAACATGATTTTGTACAAGTCATCTTTATGCTATTCACGATTGTGTCGAATGGAAAAAGTCACTAGTCAATCTATTTATTCAGTACAGTTAATAAATATGTCATGTCAATCGCTGAAGTAAATCGGTCAATTGTTGGAAGGTATAAAAAGACAATTGAATAACAATATGAAAAATATAAGCAAAATAAGTCAGCTGACGCAAACAACTGGCATTTGTATGCAAAGAAAGTAAACTTCACGGGAAACCTACCAAACATTTCAAAATAGTAAATGAATAAGAAGAATGACTAGTACGAAATGCAAAAAAAGCTGACCCCTCGAGATTAAAATGTAACTGAATATTTATTCGTAATTACAAAAGAACTAAATTATATAACAACAGTAACAATATTGGATGTACAATATATACAAGAACAGTGTTACATAATCTTACAATTGAAAATTTAAATCAAAGAATAGTTGTTATTTTCCACCAATGTGGACCTAGTTCTTTATCATATATTCGAAAATTTAATTTCAACAGTCAAAGTATTTGTGATGAAAGTTATGTACAATAGTAGAGTGGGTAACATAGATTGTAGATATATGTTGTGATGTAATGGTTATTTTGTGTATGCATTATTATAATTTGTGAAAATCGTGTCATTGCTTAGAATCTTTCCAGAATTTTAAAAATAAGGAATTTTTAAAAAATGACTCGATTTCAAATTTTCTTTATTTTAGTTGGGAGAGAATGAAATCATTTTCTAGTTTTATTGTATTAAGTTGCAAATTAATTACACTACATACTACATATATTATTGTGTTAACTTATTTTAAAACTGTAACAATTTTAATAAAAAATGTTAGAGGTCAGTTGTTTTTGCACTCCCTACTATCGAAATAATACTGATAATAGCAAGAATAAGACTTTTAATGTTCGAAGTAACAATAGAGGAGTGTATAGACACAACTATAATTCCTTGAGCGAAGAATACATTTCAATCATTTTGGAATTGATGAACTAGTTTAAGTACATATGACAGCAATAGCCGCATCAATATAGTAGATTCATTCAGCTTCGTATTTTTATGCAACAATTAAGATACCAATATTACAAGTGAGATGAAGCAATATTTATACAGAGGGGCTTCAAAGTAACGGAACACAGAATTTTTTCAATTTCCTTTTTGTACGCCGATAAAACTATGGAAATTGAATGAACTCAAGAAATATCGAATTTCTCAAAGGGTTGTAGGCGAATAATAAAATTGAGGAACAAAGTATTCCATTGAAAGACTGAACATATGCTACATCTTGTACTAGTATCATCTAGTATATGTGGTGCAAATGTCAGGCGGAACTGACCATATACAAAGACGTAATCGAAAAACTCTGTATTTCCTTACTTTTGACGCACCCTGTATATTTGTATCAGCGCTGATGGTTTGACCTGGCGCCTGGCAGGCATGTCTAAGATCAATCAGGACAAAGTTGTTGGTCTAGTTTGTACGTTTTGGAAATCAAATGTTTATCCATCTCCTTGTTCTTGAAGAGCACTTCCGCAGATTCATTCGATTCAAGTAACAAATCCTTGAAAAAAAACACATCAATATAGTACCGTTAGGTTTACTTTGACTGACAGAAGAACTTATCTAGATTCAAAACGATGAAATAGTGAATTCTGCGTTTGTGCTATTGTAAAAATTGGTACTCAAATGTAAATATCCTTTTATCTCTGTGTTCTATGTCTGATCACATGTTGTTTCTGTAACCATAATTAGATGTTTTGCTTATGCAAAACAATACTAATGCAATTCAAAACAGTGCATTACTTCAAGAGTTTTTTGTATGAAAAATATCTATGAGGATTTTTTCTTTGTTTTAATTTGCTATTCGTGCAAGACTTTGTTATTATTTTATCTTTATGAAAATAAATTAAATGAACAATTGAAAGTAGAATGATAGATTGATTGAGATTTGTAGAATTAAATGTATTCGAAAAATCAGATGTATCAATTGACTTGATTTGACTTGCAGACAGGACAAACTACACTATGACAGAAAAAAGTAGCCTGCTGGAAGTTCTGATATGTATATCCATTGATAAAATGCGAGTAGGTCAACGAAAGCAAACTGATATTAAGAATAACCAAATAACATATTTATTTCAAATTACTTTTCTCATCTCTTAGAAAAAAGATGTGTTTATGTTTATTTTTATTTCTCAAAAACTAAAAATATTTTCACAATAAATAATCAAAATCAAATGAAAAGTAGAAAGAAAATCTTTGTAAAATCCTTTCCATAAAAATAATAACTAAGCATATTGATGTTTTGAAGAAAAGAAAGTAGTGATTTTTGATGATTTCTTTTTTTCTGGTTACCTTTTTTTTTTTATCAATGACCTCCGAGAGTGATACATCGATTTGATACGGTACGGTAAGCAACGTGTCTACCTTCATTATGATCAGTTGTGTCTTCATATCAGAAGAAAAAGAACGAAAAAGGAAACACAGGTAGGACGATGATAACGCAAGACTCCATTAGAGTATTTTTTTGACGAAGGAATTGTCCATACACTCTAGAATAGTTATCAATAAAATTGTTCAATGAATTGTTAATCATTTTTTAGGAATCTTTTTCTTATTGAATTGAACTCATTAACAGGTAATCTAAATAAATCATGAATAGTAGATATTCTATGAAAAAATATCGATTAAAGATTTATCTCTTACTTACGCTTGTCTTTTCAAAAATTCATGATTGAACATTGAGTTTTAAAAGATCAAGTGGAAAAAAGCGTGGATAGTTCTGTAATAGTTTAACATATTTTTGTAGTTTCATTTGACTTCCTAAAAGTTTTATCTCATTTCAATTAATCTATAAGAATTATTCAAAGCAAAATAAATAGATTTTTTCTTTTCCAAGCAGTCCAACGAAAAAACTACGAATGACAAAGTTCTTGCAAATCGTATTTTTTATGAATATTTCCATTCGTAGCCAACCATAAAAAAACACAGTACTCTGAGAAGATTTTTTCATCTGTACAACTTTTTACAGCTCGCTCTAGTGATCGTTTTGGTGAAAAAAAAATATTCATATTAACTCAATAAATCATGGTGCTATGGTCAAAGTATTCGAAAATGTCAACTATCACTCGACAACAGCCATCGTTAGCTGAAGTTTTTGAGTATCCCAGATCTAGACTCATGATTTATTAAGTAAATTTGAATATTATCTTTTACCAAAATGATCAGAGCATCGAACTCTGATGACTTTCTCAAAAGTCGTCGTCACTTAACAAATACGTCTAACTTCATTATTAATCTAGCTTCATGTTATAATTCTTTTTATTTGAAAGAGAAGACTACATAGTAAGTTTGTTTGTATAAGAAGAAAGTTCATAACTATTGTTCAACAGTATTACCTTTAACTTCAATATAAAAATGTAAACGTTTCACAATTTCTGAAACAGTATCATGTATATCTGCTCGATAGTAACCACCATAAGAACGTCGGTCATATTTTCTTGTAGATGTCATCGAGTCCTTATATGAAATCCAAACTTGCCATTAAAACCACAATTTTGACTTTTAATTGCAAACTAAAAGACATGTTTCATGTGAAAATATTCTTAAACGTTTATCGGATTTTCATTAACTTCGATTAGTTTCACTTGTTATAAGCCCTCCGTTCCTAGCTCAATAAAGTATTCGATAGTGAGTGAACTGAAAGAGGTCGGGCAATATCATGGGCTCCTCAATCAACATCTTTAATATTATAGAACTTATTTCTATGGGAACATCTTAAAATAAATATCTACAGAATACCACTATAAAATTTAGGTGATTTAAAGACTAGAATATTCAAAGAAATAGAAATAATAAAAAGAGAAACTTGACGTGATGTTTTTTCAAGAATTGTGAAACGTCTAAATTGTTGTATTGAAGTTAAAGGTAATACCTTTGAGCAGTAATTATGAACTTTGTCTTTATGAATGAAAACTGACTAGTTTCTTTTTTCAAAGCAAAGAAAATTAATAGATAAAGCTTAATCAATACTGGAGTTATACGCATTTTGTTACATGATAATGACTTTTGGAACGCTCTGTACAAAAGTTGTACAGGGGAGAAAAACATTCTGAGAATCTTGTGTTTTTTGTGCGGTTGACTACCTATACAGGTATTCATCAAAAAGACCATTTGCAAATATTTTATGGTTGGTAGAAAGCACAAAATAAATTGTTTCTAAAAGTTCTTAAATGTCAAACGTTATCTTCTTTGTACAGTTTCGAAACAAATACCATCGCAAAAAGTTTCACTAAGAAATGTTTTGTCATAATTCTTTGTACTTGTACTTTTCGATTATAGTTTTACAATGAAATATAATTCGAATTTGGCTTTTATGTGTATATATATAGATACAGGGATATTTTAGTCGACAGACGCGAAATAAAACTTTAAATAGTATAACATAGCAAAAATTACTTGATTTGTCAAAACACTCTAGATTTGTTTTTTTTTCGTCTTTCAATGAACTTTTGAAGCATTTTGTGTTTTAAGGTTTTGAATACGAATCACATCAATTTGTTTCTTTATTTTAAAATGGCATTAACGCGACGTTTTAAATTATTTCGACGGTTATTTTTTCGTCGTTTGTTTCCTGCAATATTTTTTCTTATATCTATATATTTATTGTTACTCTATCGTGATTATTCTGATACAAAAACTTATGAGTCTTCTTTTACAACTATTATTGATCATCATAATCCATGCTATTTTAAACCATCAACTAATGAATTTATCTTTAATTATAAAACAAATTCATCAATGGAAAATCAACCTGATTTAACACGTGTAGAACCAACAATTGAGCGAATACGTAATCTTTTAGAAATAATTCGTTCAAAAGAAGACAAATATCAATCACTCTTAGAAACTTTTGATGTTTTTAGTATGACAAATCCAGATATATCATTAAAACCATATTCATTTCAAAGTAATATGTATGAAATAAAAACTTTATACAATCGTTTTATTAAATTAATGCCAGATAATAAAAAAATAGAAATAGATCATACATTTATTGATTATTTAAGAAAAATTTCAAATTACTTATTAGATGGATTAGGAAATAAACGAACAAATACAGTAAATATTTAAAAAGATTTTATCTTCAATAATTTTTATTATTTAAAAACAATTTTGAATAGTTTCAAGTTGAATGTATTCGTAAACCGGTTTTTGTTCTTGCTTGTGATCAAAGTTATTTCGATGGACTTCAAGGTGCTATTCATACACTTGATACTTATTGGTCCGATCATAGAATTATAGTTTATGATTTGGGTATTTCAAGTGAACAAGAAACATTGGTAAAATGAAGAACAAAAACAATTACTTGATTTCTTAGAATGATATCTTTCTTTTTTTAAATTTAGCTTAGAACAAAATGTGCTCAGTGTACAATTATTAAATTTCCGTTTTCATCCATTGAAAAATATGCATCACATATTGGTATATTAAAATATTTTGCATTTAAACCATTTGTTATACAGGTGAATAGATTATTTGATAAAATGATAGATTTTTAATCATCTACGAAATATTAATGAAAAAAATAAATGTTTTGACCTTGTTTATCTTTCATATGTGACTTATCTCGATGAATCATTGAACTCTGAATTGATGATGATAAGTTAAATATTACAAATCATCTTCGATTTACTTTAATGATAACTTATGGCATGAATCTGATTGAAAATTAAATAAGGATTTATAAATATTTCATAATATTTGTCAGAGAATAAGAATTCTTCAGTAATTTAAACATACAAAAAGTTTGAAAATACCCTTCTACGACGAATTAGAATATTTACTTCTCTTTTGTCAAATCCTCATTACCTATTGACATGATTAATAAGCTTCAGATTTATTAATCTTTCATAGGATGCTTTACGTCGTTATGGTACAATTATCTATGCTGATTCATCTGTTCGTTTTAATTCTAATTCATTTAATCCAGTTTTAATCGATAACTATATTCGTGGTTTTGCTGTTCGGGAATTACCTGGTCATTCTCTATCTTGCTATACTCACACTGATACATTCACTTGGTTTAACCAGTCGTATAGGAATTTTGAAAATATCTATATAGCTGAAGCTGGATTTTTAGTTGTTACAGATACATTTTTAACACGTCTTATTATGAAAGCATGGTTAACATGTGCACTTGAATCAGATTGTTTGGTATCATTTGAATCACAAACAAAGTGTAAGAGAACTTCATCGAGCAAACATCATTATGATCAAAGCGCCATGGTTATTATTTTAACATATTTTTTCTTTCAAGGAAATACAGGAACATGGGGAAATCAAAAACTTAATGATTCAGCTCCATACGATATGCTCACAAGTGTACAAACAAATTTAGGCGATATTAAACGTTACGCTCCTGAACAAAATTATTTATTGGAAAAACGAAACTCTTAAAAATGCGCAGAAATATTTTTTTTATCATTTTTGTGATTAGAAAATTTTTAAAATTTATTTTGTTTTTTATATGAGATGAATATTCTATTGTTTTTTCTCATTTTTGTTAATATAAATGCAATTTATCAAGTATGAAAAAAAAATTCTTTTCTTTTGAACGCTCTGACAAATAGATTTATAAATATATTGAAGAATTTAGTTTATGGACAAAACATAGCATTATTTAATGATTATTGTGATGAAAAAATAAAATGTGCTTTATCAAATATGATTTGTAAAGAAAATAAATGTCAATGTATAATAACAGAAAAACAAATTTATTTTTGGACTGGAAAACGATGTATTGAATGTATTCAAGGTTGGAATTCTTTTTCTGGTAAGAATACATCTGTTTCAATCATAGAATTTGTTTTCAATAATTAAACAGTCGTGTATACCATATCTAACTCTATTAAGTTCTCTTACACAGTTAAATAATATGGATGGCGCATAAACTTGACTTCAAATGAATTTTGTATTATTTTAAAAACAATAAACATTGACAGAAGTTGGTTGTTGAAAATAAAAACCATTCTATTTATATTTTTAATTTAATTCTGTAGAGATTAAGGCGGAAGCTTTGCTATCTAAACGAACTCGTTATGTATCTAATGAAAAAATAACATTGACGATTTAAATTAATAACAAAATATGAAAAGAAATATTTTGTTATTAATGTTTTGCTTGTAGAAATTTTCAAACGGGTCTATGTGATATCTAAAATATAATTAGTATTTTTCGTACAAAAGAAAAACTGTAAGAGTCAAGTTTTCGAATAAGAAAGCATTGATCTTCAAAAATGATATAACCTATGAGTGATGAAATAAGGATATTTCGTTATCTTTCTTTTCAATTCTCATAAGATTTTAGATGAATCGAGTTTTACAGATATTTCAATATACAAAAGACAAAAGGAAACTATTTTGAGAAAATTTCGGATCAGAATAATAATGAACTAAGAACAAAAGCATCAAATGTTATCCAACATTTTTATGAATTTTCAAGATTTGTTTGACAAATGAAATCTTCCAAATGCTTAATAGCTTTTCAGTTAAAACGATGAATATAGTGCATATTTTAATGAGCTGTAAATACTCTGAAAAGAATTCGGACCGTTATATTACTTATACAGAAACACTGAATTTTTACAGAATTTTTTAATTCAATTCTGTGATTTCCCTCTAGAATACTAGGAAAACTTATTTTTGAATTTCAACTTGAAATTTTGCGTAAAAATAATTTTTGGTGAAGATAGTTTATTGTGAAGGCTTCAGATCTTTGGGTATGTTCCTATCCTGAAATAAGAGCTTCAAATCTGTCCAGGTATATGAGCGAGACAAAACAATAAACTATTCTTCATAAAGCCTACTTCTGTGTAGACTTACAAAGAAAAATTTGAAAATGAGTTTTCATGATATTCCTAAAGTAGATCACAGTATTGAATTAAAACATACCACGAAAATACAGTATCTTTGCAGTAATAAGCTAAGAACTTGAAATTTTTTCAAAATATTTAAAGCTCATTAGAGTCGACATGATGTAGATAGTTCTGACACAAAAGCGATGATTCAATTAAAGGCCTTACCATCGTGAGCCAATTCATATTGATACTATTTGTTTTCATTATCACTTGTTGATATCTATTAGCCTTTTTCTCGATTTACATGTGAAAGACATTTTAAGAAATGTGAGAATAAATCAGGCAGATTAAGAATTCGAAATAGATTTTTGGATCAAGGAAATTTGTTTTTACTCATTATTGAATATATTTAGGTACTCGTTGTTTTCGGTTTTTTAATGAAAAAAAAACTTGGTTTGATGCTCGTAGTCATTGTCAAAAATATAATGCTGATCTTGTTTATATTAATAATTGGCCAGCTTCTACGTTTGTCTTCATTGATAATATCACTAATTCATATTTTAAATCAGAAGATAAGTTAATTAATATATGGGCAACAGCTAATTCGAGTTTATTTGACAATGATAAATCAGGTTGTTTTACAGAATTCACTTTTCAATATCTGTATGCCTAGTTTATATAAATATCTTTTTATTTAGTATTTACTGACCGTTGGTTCAATTATCTTTCTACTGATATTACGAAAATATTTTGTGTATGGTTGATCAAACACTCAAAGAAATATGTATCTAATGAGAATAATTACAAGCTGTTGAATGAAAATAACAAATCTGAAATATGTTTACAATGGATACCTTGGAAGTTCTATGAAAACTATCATTGCCGTGTTGATTCTGATACAAAATGTTTATCTACAAATCCTTTTGTTTGTGAAAGAAGTAAATCATTTGAAAAGAACTTCATTTATTTAAAAAAACAAAACTATATCATTTAGCTGAACTCAGTTTATCGCATGCTAAAGTATCAATGAGTAAGTTTATAAAAAGATTATGTACATTTGTTCTGCAAATAATTGATTAGTATCTTTATAAAATCACTCGTCAAAATTGGGAGATATTTTCGAGGCTTTATTGTTTTTTGATTGGATTTAATCAAGATCAAACTGGTATTATCTCGTTAGTTTTGATAATGAAACAGTAAAAACAAAATTTGTCTTATATAGATTTGAATTAATCAAAATTTCATAGTATTTTTGTGTTTTAATAAAATCATGCTCTTACAAGCATTCTTATTTATATTCAGCTTCAGCACATAAATGACACTCTATAAACTAATATCACAAAGCAATATGCATTAGATCATTGATAGATTGCTCAGAATAGTTTACTTAAAATTTATCATAAATTGGGTATGATGATAGAGGAAAAATGTCGAGACAAAGATTAAAAGCTTAATTAGGATACGGATATTCGGATTCAAAAGAAATATTTCCGAAGTTTCATATTCTATTTTCAAACTTTAATCATTTGATTAGATTCCTAATTTTTTTCTATGACGTTTGTGGAAAACTAAATTATGACATATTGTCTATAGACAAGTTTCAAATCGTTAAGATAATGAGGTTAATATTAACGTTCAAAACAAAACAAAAACTATTTTATGGTTGAAATATTAGACTTTCTAAAAACAAAACATCGTTTATAATAATGGATTGGATGTCTTCAACATTCAATATGTCTTTGAAGAAGACAATATTTATTTTGAGCTTTGAATATTTGTAATCAAACTTTTAGGTTTAATTTCCTACTTCAATAGTTCATAAACATTGTAACAAATTCGAAACTTCAATGAAAAAAAAATAACCAATTTCGATTACTTTTAGTTTTTTCTATTTCTATACAGTGATATAAATCAAATTGATAACAGTACGTAACAATTCGAACCTTGTTATGTTAATATGATATCAGAGAAATTTTTACTTAAAATTTCAATTAAACTTGTATAATTCTTTAGTCATTAAAAAATTTCTTTTTTTTGTTAGATACCACTACTACTCAAAACATAAGTCCATTAATAATTGGTTCTATTTCGATTATGATTTCTATTATTCTTTTTGTTTTCCTCATACTATACATCATGCGGATAGAACCTTCAACAACTTCTACTGGTCATGATGATGATAATTCATGTCAATTAAACTCATCTGAAAGTTTTTAAACTGTGTTTTTGCAAAAAGTTGTATTTTTTTTCTTTAACTTACAAAATCATTTACAAAAAATAACAACAGGAAAAAAGAAAGTCATATGTTTTACAAATACCTTTTTCCATATTGTTGATAATGAATGTCATAGAAAAAAATTCAAATGAACAGTAAACTAATTTTTATACAATATGTATGTGAAACAAAGATAAATTTTTCTTAGATATACTCTGTTCATAATAACAATTACAATCAACACACACACGCGAAAAAACAACATAAGAAAAAGATTAAAGAAATAATATTATCTTTAAGTAAAACACATTTCGTTTTCAATTTTTGTATGAAGTATCATTAATTTTATTATTATATTATTAATTGAAACACTTTCAGCATTTTCAACAAAATTATCATCAAAAATAAATGTACGCATGATGCATATACAGCTAGTTGAGCATAATGAATTGATACTAGAATTGAAACCAATTTTGAACAACGAGCGTCTGTATGACATAGCTTAGAAAAAACAAGAAATCATGCCCAATATGTTAATTGTTGCATTCCAACACTTGTAAAACCAATTTCATCATGAAGAACATGATAAAGAACTGGACAAGATATTCCCATACTAAACAAAAGCATCAAAATCTTATCTTAAGAAAAAACAAATCTTCACATGAAAATTTTTTTACAGTGCTGCTTGTGAACATAAATAAAAATCAAATTGTGATGAATGAATTATTTGTTGATCAACAGCTGTTTCAGCTTCAACATTTTTTGTACTTTATCCATCATAAACAAAAAACCGCGTATTATGTCTTTTCTTTACAATACAAAATATTAATTTTGGTTGTGTTCGATTAACATAAATAGCTTTAAAAAAATGAACGTTTCATTTTTTTCTTGAACTATTTTCGTTTACTTTGAAATACTTGTTTTATTTTAGCAACTTCATTATCAAGTGCTTTTTTGATATTGACCATCACGATAGAAAACAATTTTATTGATTAAACAACAACCCAATTTTCGATATTTCGTTATTGAAACAAACTTTTTTAATAAATTAACATACTTGCATAAAAAGACGAGTTACATAAAGAGAATTTGTTGAATCACGTGAACTAACAATGATTGCTATTGAAGACGCTCACTTGAACAAGTTGTATGTGTTGCCTAACAAAATAGAAATATCTATTAAATAATCTACTTGTAGAACTAAGAAAAATATAGACTTCTATCAAATTATTAATTTAAAGTTTACTTTCAACAACATAATTTTGTTTTACTTTTCAAATTTTTCTTTGTTTAATTTGATTCATTATCAGTCGATATAAAACAAATAACTCTTCTTGTCTCATCACACTTTTTGTCGATAGTAAAAAAATAAATGAACGAATTTAT